GTAATCCAAGATTACAGTACCAAGCAGAAACACTAAGGAGGAAGAAGAAAATTTTAACAAAATTAAATAAATAAAAACAAAAGAATTTAGAAAAGTAACTTAATTGAATTGATGATATTCATATGTTAAAAAACTTTTTAGTAATTATAATTTTAAACAGTGAGTGAGAGTATTTGAATTTTAAGAAACTAGGATAAAAACAATGAAAAAGAGACTTAAGTTAATTTTTTCCTTTTATGTTTCTAATTTTTTTTAAAATTATTATATTAAATATATATTATAACACTAATTAACTAAAAAAATGACATGGATGCTTACATGACAAAATTATCCTTTTTTGTAAATAAGATTTAAAATATCATATTTTTAAAAAATAGATTAAAAAATATTCTGTTTTGGGAAAAAAATTCCATTTTATGGTGGTAGATAAGTAATTGCCCGAATTCTAGGTTTCCATTAGATTCAATAGTAGAACTATAAAAGAAAATGATGGCTCATCTGTCCAATAGAGTTATGGTTTATTTGGATGTATTGTCAAAATGGTGTTTTGCTTGTACTTTATTTAGTATCAACAAAATTATTATTTTCTCTTATAAAATAACATATAATTATATTTCGGCGCCCAGAAAAAAAAAAAAAGAAGATTGAATGCTTGTCAATAAATAGTAATATTAAGTTGAATTTGAACAAATATAGCCATCGATTCTCATATTCAAACACAAACAAAAAAGGGTACAATTTTGTCAAAAAAAAAAAAAAACCCATTTTGAGATCCAGTGTTTGTATTAAATCTGTAAACTAAATCCTGTTTAAATAATTTAGCAAAATCAACTCTATATTTTTATATTTTAAAAATTTGATCCAACTAATCTCAATTCTCAACGAATTTCCAAAAAATTACTGATGTAAAACATATTACCCACTTGGCACACAATTTTGATTATAACGCCTTATATATATATATATTAAAAATGTACAAAAACTGATGAAAGATCTTTACGTAATTGTTTCACAACTCCATTCCCCATGTTGTATTTTCTAGGCGAATAAAAGGAGAAGAAATCTAATTTTAATTTAGACTTCTCATTCAATAAATATACTATTCTACAAACCTAGTTTTTTTTTAAAAAAAATGAGAGCATCTCATTCGAATTGCTTAAATATAATGAACATATGGTTGAATTTGCCAAAATATGTACATAGGACTTAATTACCCATTTGTACAGGATCTCGGAATATGTTTTTTTTTTTTCCCAATATTCTATCAATATGATGAACGTAGCTATTCCTTTGGTCAACATTCAATCAGAATAATAACAGTTTAAGCATGCGTTTGAGGTCGCAGCCCAATAGTGAAGTTGAGGGTCGCTCACCGATGATATTCGGGTTCGATTCTCTCTACGCACGCCCGTCACCCTCGCGGTACCTTACTTGCCCACCGGGCTTGCGGGGTGTTCGGTAGGTCCAAGGATTAGTCAAGGTGCGCGCAAGCCGACTCGAACACCCCGAGTTATCAAAAAAAAAAAAAAAAGAACAGTTTAAGCATATATAAGGTCTTATGATGGTTTAAAAAGTCAGTGTTGGTACATTATCACTGCAAAAGGTCCTTTGCTGTGAAATTAGTCATATTTATGTTGAAGTATTTGATTACGTGTTATTAAAGTATTGAGCTATTTCATCAAAATAAATAAACAACTATATAATAAAAAACGAGATTAATCTACTTTTTCAGAAATTATCTATTAATATTTTGATTTTTTTATTAGTGATTAGTTAAAAGGTTGAATTTAAATATCCTTGTTGCCATATTTTTTTGTTTTGCCATATAGTTATAGAATAGAAATTGTTTTACTTTTGACATATAGGATTTTTCTTAAAGCAGGATAATATATTTAATATTTATCAATAAAGTCCTTAGTCTCATGTGTGATGTTTCTTAAAACTTAAATATACTTTTTTATCGAATGAAATATTTCAACACATATTTTTTACTTTCATATTTCAACATAGAAATATTTTAACTAATTTAAAATGAAAAATGAAATTGTTTTTTTTAACAAAACTAGGATAAAATTAAACCAAAAGACCGAGGTTCAAGATAAATTCACGAGAAAGTGGGATCTTTTTAGGATTTACTCCAGCGTTTAGCAGGCAAGCTATCTTGATCTATTTTCATTATATATAGTTAAGTATTAGTTTTTTTTTTTACGTTACACTATGAGTTGGATAAAATATATAAAATTGTTTAGAAAAATTATTTTAGTTTGATAGTCCGTTTTATGGTGTGAATATATAAAAATATATGAAATTAAAAATAAAAAAATTATTTATAATTTTTTAATAAAAAATTTTGTATTTCACTATTTCTTATTTATGTTATTCATAATTTTTTCTTTAGAAAAAAGATTTATCCTTGTTAATCCATAGATTATTAACTAAAAAGAAAATTAAATAATTTTTTTTAAAAAAAAGCTTTAGTATTTCATAAGATTGTGTCAAAAAACATAAATAACAATTATTAAAAGCTTATATAGAATTGAACAAATAATTTTTTTTATTTAATGTTGATGATAATATTGGTTTTTGAAAAAATGTGAATGCAATTTTTATATATTTATTTGCAAAAGAATGAATAATATTAAAATAAAAAACTATATTAATTTGACTTTCAGCTATTAATTAATTAATTTGATTTTTTTTCTAAAAAATCCAAGAAAACATTATTTGAAATACACTTTTAATCTAAAAATGTATTTTATATAAATTATATATATTAATCATGCCACAATAATTTAAAAGTTATCTAAATATATTTTTCAAAAGAAAAAATAATCATGTTATAAAAATTTATTTCAAAATCCACACATATAGAAAAATAAATTAAAACTGTTAGTAAATATAATTTTAAATTAATTGGATAAGAATTTAAAAAAAATGACAAATTAAAGTAGTAAATTTTAAATAATAACAATAATTAACAAAAAATACTAAAAAATGGGACTAAATCACAATATAATCAAAGTTTGAAATTGAAAAAAGAAAGAGAATTTTAAAAAAATGACAAATTAATATAGTACATTTTAAATAACATAAGAAAAAAATCGAAAAAAATTATTTGAAAAATACTTTTAATCTAGAAGTGTATTTCAGAAAAATTATACATATTAATCATGCCATTATAATTTAAAAATTATCTAAATCCATTTTTCAAAAAATAACAACAATCATGTTCTAAAAATTTATTTCAAAATCCATACATATAGAAAAATAAATCAAAACTGTCAGTAAATATTATTTTAATAATTAGATGATAATTTAAAAAAAATGATAAATTAAAGTAGTAAATTTTAAATAATAAAAATAATTAATAAAAACACTAAAACAAAATAGGACCAGATCATAATATAATCAAAGTTTGAAATTAAAAAAAAACAAAGATAGAATTTTTTTAAAAATGACAACTTAATTTAGTAAATTAAAAATAAAAAAAATTGATAAAAAATTAATTGAAATACACTTTTAATCTAAAAATGTATTTCAGAAAAATTATATATAATAATCATGCCACTATAATTTAAAAATTATCTAAATTTATTTTTCAAAAGAAAAAATAATCATATTCTAAAAATTTATTCCAAAATACATACATATAGAAAAATAAATCAAAACTGTCGGTAAATATAATTTTAAATTAATTGGATGAGAATTTTAAAAAAATAACAAATTAAAGTAGTAAATTGTAAATAATAAAAATAATTAACAAAAAATACTAAAGCAAAATGAGATCAAAGAACAATATAATTAAAGTTTGAAATTAAAAAATGAAAAAAAATTTTAAAAAATGACAAATTAAAGTAATAAATTTTAAATAATAAAAATAATTAACAAAAAATACTAAAACAAAATGAGATCAAATTAAAATACAATTAAAGTTTGAAATTAAAAAAAAAAAGTATAGAAAAATTGAGGACCAAGTGTTACAAAAATACAATGAATAGTAATTTATGAATATGTGAATAATAATTTATAAGTGTGTGAATAATATTTTAAATAATAAATGAATAGTAAAAACATGTTTTACTATAGTTTTATTAATAATGTTTCATGTGAACGATATATGTTTCTTCTATTGTTCTATAAATATATTTTTTAAAATACTATATAATTTACCTTTTTTTCATTCTTATATAGTAAATAGATCAAAATAACATAATTCTCACTATACTTTAGAAAAAAATCTTGAAATCAGCCGATCCTCTTATGATCATTTCATTACAACAGCAAATTATTAAACAACGCGCTAAAATAGTTATAGCTCCACCAGCCCAAAAGATGCCAAACAGATTGCTGGATCAATTGTTTCCAATTTCATAATTTATTTTTATTGAGTAAATTATAATTTAGTCTCAAGAAATGAATAAATTAGTCTATTTTGTTTTAAAAACTTATTATATAGTTTTTTAATCAGTATCTATAATACTAAATTAATATTATATTATTTTAAAAAATATATCTTATTTTTTCATAATAGCTATTATTTATTTATTTTTTAAAGAAAATAACATAAAATGGACAAAAAGCCTAAATAATTAATAATTCTATTCTATTTTTACAATCCATACATTTCGCACTGTAAAAAAAGAAAAGCACAAAGAAACAGTGGGGTGAGAGAGGCTCGAACTCTCGACCTCAGGATACCTCAGAAGCTATGAGACCTACGCGCTAGCCAACTGCGCCACCACCCCATTGATGCTCCAGTCAGTAAATAAAAAATATAATAAATATGTTATTTAGTCAGAAACACGCAGTCGCTCTGATTGGTTGGCTAAGGAACAAAAAAGCCCAATATGCATCAGGAAAAACAAACCCTAGCGCAAAATTCCCTCCCTTCTCTCCTCTCCTCCCCCATTCTCTCTCTCAGAGAGAGTTGCAATTAAAACAATCTGGAAAAACTCGAGAGAGAGAAGAAAAAGAAAAAGAGATAGAGCAGAAGAGAAATAATGGATTCGGACGAAGGAAAGCTGTTTATAGGAGGAATAGCATGGGACACAACGGAAGAGACGCTCAGTGACTACTTCAACCAGTACGGTGAGGTCTCTCAGGTTGTAATAATGCGTGACAAGACGACAGGTCGTCCTCGTGGCTTTGGTTTTGTTGTTTTTTCCGATCCTTCCCTTCTAGATCGTGTTCTTCAAGATAAACACACCATCGATGGCCGTACTGTAAGAATTCTTTCTCTATTTCTCTCCCTTTTCCTCAAATTCATCCTATTTTCTTATGTTGTGTTATTTAGGAATTAAGCTACATTGGGTTGCTTTAATTTCTGGTGGATTTGACTGGATTCTGTGTTTTCTTTTTCTTTTTGTATGGGTAATATGTGGCTTTCGTTGAGATGTTTAGGTTTTTGCTTTTCTAATTTATGATTTTTAATTTTTTGTTGTCTGGTTTGGTTGCTGGAAAAAATGATGGGGCAGCTCACAAATTGATTTGTGAGGGTTAATTTTTTTACTTACATACATTGGTTTGTTATTAATATTGTTTCAATGTCGGTGAATTATTGCAATTTCATCTGCCTCTGTAGTGTAAATGGTGTTGGAATTTTTTTGAGAGGGGGGGTGTTGTTGTGTTTTTCAGCAATTTTAATTTTCTTCTTTGGCGACATAGGTGGAGGCTAAAAGGGCTTTATCCAGAGAAGAACAGCACACCTCAACTAGATCTGGAAATTTTAACTCTGGTAGAGGCTTTGGTGGTGTAGGAAATTTTAGGACTAAAAAATTTTTGTTGGTGGCTTGCCTTCCACCTTGACAGAAGATGGATTCCGTCAGTATTTTCAAAGTTATGGTCACGTTAGTGATGTCGTAGTAATGTATGACCAGCAGACTCAAAGGCCTCGTGGCTTTGGATTTATTACCTTCGATACTGAAGATGCAGTTGATAATGTACTCCAGAAGACCTTTCATGAGTTGAATGGTAAACTTGTAGAGGTAAAACGAGCTCTCCCAAAAGATGCAAATCCAGGTGGTGAGGGGCGTGGCAGCAGTTATCGAGGTTATGGCTCCTCAGGAGCCAACATAAATGCAGCTGATAGTCGAATGGATGGAAACAGATACATGCAGCCCCAAACTTCTGCAGGTGGCTACCCACCGTATTCTGGATACGCTGCACATAGTTATGGTTATGGAGCAGCGAATGGTGGAATGGGTTATTATGGCACTTATGGTGTTGGTGGTTATGGTGGTGGAAATACTGCATATGGTACAGGAGTGTATGGCATGCCTGGTGCTGCAAAAAATAGTTGGAGCAGCCAAGCTCCTTCTGGTTATGGTGCTTCTGGCTATGGTGCAAATGCAAGCTATGGGGCTGCAGCCTCCTGGGGTGCTTCTGGTGGTGGTGGTTCTGCTTCTGCTCCTATGGGTCAGTATCCAGCTGGAGCTTCTGGTTATGGGAATCAAGGCTATGGTTATGGTAATTATAGTGGAAGTGATGGTCCTTATTCTAGTGGCTATGGGGCTGGTGGCGGGCGTGCTGGAAATGCTCTGAATGGCAGTGGAGCTGGAGGGGAGAGCAACAAGGGAGTAGCGGTGGCTATGGAGACAGTAATGGTAATTCAGGATATGCAAATGATGCCTGGAGGTCCTGATCCTTTGCAAGTGTCTGGTGGTTATTATGGTGGTCATTCAAGATAGGCACCATATCAGTGATTGGTGATGCCTTCAGGTTCTTGTGAGAATTCATAATCAGGCATCAATTCTTCTTTCGCTAGTTGAAGTATGAAATTATGATCGCAGCAAATTATGGGAATGGTTGGATTGCTTTAACCCAGTTGTAGTTTGCAGTAGCTCTCTGATAGTATATACAGGCTACTAGTTCCAAGTAGTTGCTACACCATTGCTTTAATACCATTTGCTTTTCAAGTCACAATTGTTAACTTCAAGTCGTATTTTGTTTAATGGTTTGCCTCTTTATGTGTTTAAGCTTGGAGTGCTGTTCTGAGCCTTTTCTGTTATTATGTTGATGTTATTTATTTTGGCATCAGATTGATGGCTCTTTATTAGTTAGCATCTGTTAATCTGCTTGAATTCAGTGCTATTTTGAGTATATTTTATTGGAAGTCTGATTTTTGTAGCAGCATTCCTTAGCTTTTACATGTGGTATGGCATGATTGAGATTGAGGAGTAGAGATATTCAAATATAGTGAAGTTTGAGGGATATCGTGCTGGAGCTCTTAGCGTAGATTCCTATCTTGTGAGTAGAAGCAGTAACCGTATGGTAGTAAAATCTTGTGAGAAGAGATAATAATTTCATCCTGTATTGCAATTTTCGTACAGGAGAGAGAGTATTCAACTTCAGTTTGGAACTTGTGCAACTCAAAAGGTGGTAACTGGGTTTTTGGCGTGGACTGGAATGGAAAGTAATGATGCTTTGTTCACCGGATATGTCATGCAAATTATAGAGTGGGACTGAAGTCTTCCCATTCTGAAGATGTGGTACGTGTAAGTTGAAGGATGTTATAACTTTCCCTGTTTTCATTTTTTCTATTTGGTTTTCACTCCTTTGTTAGAGTTACTAGTATAGAATTATTCAGTGTTTTGAGAGAAAGAATGGTGAATGAATTACATATTGTCGTTGAAAGCCTGTGTAATTTTGGTGAAAAAAGAACTAAGTTCCTTTTTAGCTCTTCCGTTGGTCAACCCCACCTGTTCTTGGTTCTTTGTCCTTGTATAGTAACTAATTATCACTTGCATCTTAACATTTTCTTGTACTTCTGTGTTGGCTGTGTGGTAGCAGATCAATTTCTAGAACCGGTGGTGCCCGCTAACTGCATTGCCTGGCAGATACAGTGTATCTTGTCATCTTTTATTCCTCTTCTTACTGGTTCCTACCGAGCATCCTAATATTTCCTCGGTATTATTTTTTCTCTTGAATTGGTTGTTATCATCTGCAATTCCTCATTTCCTCCTATGTTTTTCGTGTCAATCCCATTTGAGTTCTCTTTTTCAGTCTAGGTACTCATGATTAAGCATGTTGAAGCCTTTTTCCTGAAACTGGACCGATGTATTTCTGTTAGATTAAATACAAATGAACTTTAAGGGGCATTTATGTCCACCAAAGTATGTCAAAACTGCAAGATTCATAACTGTGCCTCAGTCATGAGTTTTGGAATTTGGAAGTCGTGCTGTGTTGGGATCAGTCATGAGTTGTTTTGGCTGGGGGATCCATGTAGGTCATACGGGTTCAATGCCCATTTGTTTAAACGCACTACCATGTTGATGCAGTGCAAACTCCAACGAAGTACATCCACTGCCATGGACTTGGTAGCAAAGGTGCAAGTAAAGCCGTTTTAAGAATGATACACGAGTAAATACCAAGTAAAAACCCACAAGCTACATTCCCAAAGGCATACTGGCAACACCCAGACAATATTCAACCTTAGCTTTAGACTCTAAAGTTTTAAATTTCTCCGTTACATGGCTCAACGGTTGTTATATAACGGTTCAGACATTATTGTTATTGTTATTCATCATTATAAGCTGTCCATTGGTGCTCTATACAAATAATGGCATTATTGTTATGTAATATTGTTATTTATTATTATATTAATTTAATTTATTTTTCTTCTTGAAATCTTACCATTTGATGTTGTAATGTATTTTATTATTATTATTATTATTTTTTGTGAGATGTTAAGTTATTACAAGTAATACTAACTTTTTCTTTTCTTTTTAATAAATTCAATTATTATTGTGATATTAAACTGTTATTATGTTTAATTAATAAAATTATTAAAATAAGTTGTTAATGCATTCAGATCAGTTACGACTGTTATTTTATTAGTGAAATAAGTTCCTATATGAGATTGTGTTCGTGACTTTTTTTTTTTTTTTTTTTCACACATTTGCGATACTTTAGAGCATCTACCTTAGCTCTTGATTTTTGTCTGTCACGACTGACGACCAAGAAACCAAAATAGGATGGGATTAGGTTTAGGGGTGTCCAAAATGGCTGGTGTATGTCGGAACTTCAGCTCCATCAAAACCATTATTGCGAGGATATCTAGATTTTTATGGCCAAAAAAAAAAAAAAAAAAAAAAAAAAAAATATATATATATATATATATATATATATATATGTTACTGAGGTCACGTATATTGTTAGATGATAAGGACTGGCTGCTGTTAGATGACTTCAATTCCCAGAATTGACGGTTGCTTTCTCGTTTTCCCTTTCGAGATAGCAAAGCCAATGCGAAGCGTGTGGGCTAGCATTCAGTGGAAACTTTTTTAGGTAGTAAGACACCATGAAAATGTAGGAAACTTTTTTAGGTAGTAAAACACCATGAAAATGTGGGACCTCTGGAAAAGAACCGTCCCATTTGAAAGGCAAGTGCCTATCAAGTGTATATAGCCATTGTATCTTCCATGTTTTTGTTATACAAATGAGGTGATGATATATATATATATATAATGTTCTCTATTAAAGAGTATATGAGATAACCTACGTATTTTAAAAAAATTAAAAAAAATATTCACATGAGGAAATTTTACCCGGAAGTGTTAGTGTACTGTATAAGATACGTTTCATTGATGCTCTTTTTAAGTGCATGCTTGGTGTACGTTCTATGGTAAGCTGTTAATATTTTGTATAATTAGTTATTGTGGCAAGTGATATACGTCCTTTTCTCCTACTTAGATTATATTTATTTAGCTTTGTAATCTAATAATGACTTTATCATTTATTTATTTTTTAATCTAATTCTTAATAGGTATTTATTTGCTTATAAACAAAAGAAGAAGAAAAAAATACTTAATTTTTCTTGATATAAATTATTAGAATTTTGTTAGTAAAAGATAGTCAAGTTTTTTTAAAGTAATCTCATCTTAACCCATTCATTATTTCATTGCTCTCTTTGTTACCAGTAGATGCTGTAATATGTTTTTTTGCTAACTTTTAAAATTTACATTTAATATCAACAAATTTCATATTTTATATTTTTATTAGTAAAAGAATGATGATTAAATTCAAATCTTCATAAAATATATATACCATAATTCAATTTTTAATATTGTTTGATATATTTTACTCAAATGAAAGATTCCTAATAGATTTTTTAATCTTAATTTAATATTTAATAAGTAACAATCTTTTCTTTGTAGAAATATTTTTAAAATCTATTATACCAACGAATATTTTTGCTTAAATTCATGATATATAGCTATATAGTTTACAAATAATAATATTTAATATTTTTAGAAATAAGAAGTAATCACAAACTAAAATTAGTTTTGTTATTCTTTCCATTAGCATAGACTCTACCATACAATCTCGATAACTTTAAAATTTTAATTTAATGAAAATTATATTACACAATTATTTTTCATTTGCTGTGACTGAATAATGATGGAACCTTTAACTAATTAAACTTTTTAATATTAATTTATGTTAAATTTTAATTTGAACAAGTTACCATTAAATATTTGAAAAGTCTGAAAGATGACCTAATATAGTAAATGAAACAATTTCATAATTTTTTTTAAAATTAAATCATTGGAGATAAATGCAATTAAGCATAGTTAAATTATTTATTATTTTTCTTTCCAAAAATACTTATGTGGATTAAAGATAGGGATTTTTGTTCGATGTGGAGGATAGTCATGGACACTGCTCTTGTATTTTTTTTGTCTTATTGTCTTACTCTTTTTCTTTGCAATTTTTTATTTTTATTTTTATTTTTGTAAATTGACCGCAGCCAAATACTATTATTGACTAGTAGAAGTAGTTCTTTCTTGAATCTCTTTACTTTTTGTTATGATCATTTATATTTTTGCTTGATTCATTTGACTACTTTTATCCATCTTCACAAGAAAGAAATATTCTTTTCTTTTGCATGATAAAAAAAAAAAACAAAAATTTTTGATTTTTTATTTTTTTACCCATGTATTTTATCTCACATTGGATATAGAACTAATCATATATATTCGAAATATAAGTAAAAGATTTTTCAACAAATGTAATTCTAGAATTCGAATTTGACACATTGGTAAGAAATCATTTGAAAATCAACTTGCTTATCACTAAATTAAAGTTGGTAAAAACACACACACACACGTTATGGTAACTTTATAAAGAGATTTAAAGAATGACAAAAGAACATCTAACTATTAGGCTAGTATTAATTTTATTTCCAAACTATTTTTACATCAATTTTACTTTCAAACTATTTTGATTTTTCAAATTTTTTTTTTTTTGTTAAAATCACTTTGTTGAGTTTCGCGGATCTTTAATACCATTTGTTGAGTTTAGAGTGACAGTTTGATGAGCTTAAATAAGAACATAATTTTGTTATATTATTAATTTTGACAAACTAGTAATACAATTACAATAGCTCTTCCAACGTTTGCTATAATTTATTTGTAACACTATAATAAAATATAAACACTCAACTATTATTCTCACACTACTAGTTGAGTTTTGTGTGTAGCTTTCTCTCCCACGTAATCTCACTTACGTTGGCTCATTGGAGTGCCTAAAATGTCAACAAAAAATCTACATCAAATCTCCACATTAATTGTGGAAATGGTGGCTTGACAATCATCGCGAAGATAAGGTAATAGGTATGGTTAGGTGAGATAAATTACCGTGCAAAATGTGTACGCAATAAGTGAGAGGTTAGACAAAATGTATGATCATTAAATAAATAAGGGACAAACACATAATTGTTTAGTCAACAATCGTGACTATGAGAAAGGGTCACTCTTTCAAAGCATTTAATAGAAAACATTAAGTTACATTGAGTTTTTTATAAAATAATATGGTTTTTTCTTTTTAAAAAATACAATTTGAAGAAAAATATAGATAGAAAGCCTTAAGAATGATGGAAGTTTTTAATTGATAATTGTTGAAGATTTGAAGGTAAATTGATGTAAAAAATTATTTGTTAGCAAAATTGAGAATAACTATATAATTGGGGGGAATTTTTGAAGTTTGCCCTTAAGAAAATTACAATAATGTAATTGTTTGATTTTTATAAAATTTAAGTATATTATACTTTTACATTTTGAAAAATAAAAAAATCTTGCCGATATTGTCACCCATAATTATATCTTTTTTAATTGTTATAACAGGCCTTTTTTGTTAATATTGGATTAATTATCCAAAACGTTTTTAAAGACAAATATTAATTTGATGACATGCTAGCCAACATTGAATTTTATTTACACGCTTGCCCATCAATTTATTTACCACGAACATTAAATTTTATTATATGCTAGCCAATCATTTATTTATCAAATATCTTCACTCAATGGATATAAATTGAATACAAAAGAAGTAAAGAAATAATTTACGAGCCCTCAGTGTTGTAAAACTAAATCGTGGATAATATTTCCTTGATGTTACAAGAAAATATATAGAAACTAATAGCATATATTCTATCTACCCTCACTCCCTAGTTTTTTTCCCCCTTAGGACACCATTTGAGTTTTGTTTTGCAACTTTTTTTTTTAAGGACATTATTCGCAATTACAAATTGATGTTTTAGTGAGTTCACATACAAATATATAGCTTTCGTTGTTGCTAGCATATAAAAAGAAATATTATTAAATAATAAAAATTCATGTAATAAATAAATAAATTCATTGTAAATAAAAATGAACAAAGAATTGAAACTTTTTAACTTAATCATTAAAAAACAATAGGGATTAAGATTACGTTATCATAGTTTATATTATAAAGATAATCTATCTATCAAAATAGTTTTATTAAAAATTTTAGGTGAACTCTCTCGAGGTACAATCAAACTATTTTTTTGAAACGATACGCACCGTTTATAGAATTTATCTAATGTAATAGATTAAATATTTATTGCACGCTATCTTGGAGGTATGATAAATTTATTCATTTTGTTGTATTTTAATAGGTTTGCACTATTTATAAGACTTAAAATTTAAAATAAAATAGTACCACTCATACCTAAAGAAAGAATTAATAAAAGTAATATGACTTTTTAGTGGGAGACCAAAAAAAAAAAAAAAGACAGAAGATAAAATTGAAAGAAATATTTTTCTCTCTAAGCAAAGCAAGAGGAAAAAATGATGGTATTTTCACTCTCAACACAATGTAAGAATTGTTGTTGTGTTATATCCAAATGATAAGAAAAGAGTTATATTTATAAGTGATGAAAAATAATTGTTTCTGGTTGTTATGAAACTGTTTTTTTATCATCATGAAAAATAACTTTTTTTTACCATTATGAAAAATAGTTATTTTCTACCATTTGTAACTGTCGTGAAATGTTTCTATATTTAGAAAAATATAATAATGATTACTAATAATTTTGACCAAAATCAATGTTATTATTATTATTTTTTTATCAAAATAATCCTACAGCTTTTGTTCCATTTAAATTATGTGTTGATTAGTTTGTGCTTTTTGTTGATATTTACAGATAATGAGACATTTTTGAATCAGTTTTTACGTGAGTGGAGACTAAATTTATTAATTCTTGAACTAAAGCAGTAATGGATCATGCCTAACTTTTGGTTAATATTGATTAATATTGATTAGTAAGTTTACCTAATGGACGATGGCTAGGGGACATTAGGTGGAGACTATGACTTCAGAAAGTTGATGCCATTATGCAAGAAAAGATATTAGCTACAAATCTAGGTTCTTGCTTAACTGCACCAACTTTTCTGTTTAAACCTAAGGACAAACTAGCTGTTCTGCAGGTTGGCAACGAATACGACGTGAAACTTGCTTCACAACATTTGTTCAACATCATTAACTAGGAAGTTTTCTTACCGAATAGAAGATGCTTGCTGCATTTACTCTCTCGTTGGATTTGTGCGTTAAAATATTTTGTCCTACATTATAGATGCTAGTGACAACTTCTACCCTAATCAGTGGCCCATCAGAACCCCATATCTTAGAAGGTGCGTGTCCTAAACGTATGGCCATGTCCGATTCGGCTATGTTTTTCAATTTTTCATGTATTTGGAGTGGCTAAATATCCATATCGAAACGGGGTAAGCAGTATGGGTTAGAAATAAGAATATATATATATTGGTTGGGAATAATTGTGGAGCTTATCCAGTTTTATTCCTCTCCCTCTTCTCAATAAATTGTCTTTGTTTTTAGTGGATCTTTTCTCTGATGAAGACATCTCTTGATGCTACTCTCCTTCTAGGTTTGTCAATCAGTGAATTAAAGTCGGCAAGTGGACTGTGAAGTGTGAACTATATATACTACAAAACAAAAAGATCGGCAAAATGCTGGCAAGAAAGCTAGCTATGAGTTAGTAAGATAGATACCAGGCGATGAAAATAGAGGTGAAAATGAAAGCAAGTGAAAACAGATAAGGTTGAAAAGCTCTATTGCTAATTACCTGTACCTCATGCTTTATAAAATCTCCTTATTCACATGATATTGGTATACAACACCAAGACCACCTTGAGTTCCTATAACATTTACCTCCATCATAATGTTTAAAGTAGAAGAAAAAGGAGCTGCAGATGGAAGAGATGATTATACGGAAGATGGGACTGTGGACATCAAGGGCAATCCTGTCTTAAGATCGAAGTCAGGAAGATGGAGAGCCTGTTCCTTTATGTTAGGTAAGTAATAATATTCTTATAAAGATTCTTATTCGAAGGTTCGAAATAAGCTTTTGCTTCTATTTTGTAAATGTATTGCTGTGTGTTTAATAGGGTATGAGGTGTTTGAGAGGATGGCATACTATGGGATAGCATCAAATCTAGTTTTGTATTTGACAAGGAAGCTCCATGAAGGCACTGTAACATCTTCAAACAACGTCACCAACTGGGTTGGTACTGTCTGGATATTGCCTATTTTTGGTGCTTACATTGCAGATGCTCATCTGGGAAGATACTGGACTTTTGTCATTGCATCAGGAATTTATTTACTGGTAAGTCTGAATTTCCACACGAAATTCTCTTAGTTATTCATTCATGTTTCAATTTGTTTTGGGACAGCGCTTCATTACTTAAGCGTGCCATCCACCATGAATTAGTATATAATTGAATTGAACAACCATGTGGTTATTCATAAAGAAACAGAAACCATATGCAGTATGCTGATATTTCTTCTTGTGGGAAAGAACAGTTTGACAATTTCTAGACTTAATTTTAATTTTGATCGAGACACTTTGCTGATTTGAAACTGAGCCTACATGATTAAAACCTTATCCTCAATTCTTAGTTTCGTCATGTAGTGCCATCTGGGCTCCTTGAGGTTTTTTGATTTTTGATTTATTTTTTGAGCTGATCAAGCTAAGTGGTTGGCAAAGATTTTAGGTTCGACATACAGTACTATTAAACTGGAATAAACAAGTGGTTTATCACTCTCCGCGTTCTCGTTAAGTATTATATATCATAGTAGAATCATGTAAAGTACTAAATTCCACAGTGTTTTCATGGATAACCAAACAGGGAATGTCCCTATTAACCCTGGCTGTTTCGGTGCCTGCCCTGAGGCCTCCATCCTGCGGTCATGGCACCAAAGAAATGGGATGTGACGAAACGGCGTCAGCCTTACAAAAGGGCATATTCTATGGTGCACTATACATAATAGCAGCTGGTACTGGTGGAACCAAGCCTAACATCTCTACCATGGGGGCTGACCAATTCGACAATTTTGAACCCAAGGAAAGGGAACATAAGCTTTCATTCTTCAACTGGTGGATGTTCAGTATTTTCTTTGGCACCCTTTTCTCAAACACATTCTTGGTATACATACAAGACAATGTAGGTTGGGCCCTTGGCTATGGCCTTCCTACCTTGGGGCTTGCGCTTTCGATCATTGTGTTCTTGACAGGCAGTCCATTCTACAGGCACAAATTTCCTGCAGGGAGTCCATTCACCAGGATTGTAAGAGTACTTGTCGCTGCTATTAGGAAATGGAAGGTTCCTGTCCCAAATGACCCAAAAGAGCTTCATGAACTCGGTATAGAAGAGTATGCTAAATCTGTCAAATATAGAATTGACCACACCAATTCCTTAAGGTTAATCCTCTAATTTGCACAGATTAATCGAAATGTTTGAATTTGAATCTAATATTAATTTCCAAAATTGTTAAAGCTCATTCCATCTTGCAGATTACTTGACAAAGCTGCTGTAAAGACCGGACCAACCTCACCTTGGATGCTTTGTCCTGTGACCCAAGTTGAAGAAACCAAACAAATGATAAAAATGCTGCCTGTTTTGGGAGTCTCATTCATACCTAGTGCCATGGTAGCTCAATTAAGCACATTATTCATCAAACAAGGCACAACCTTAGACAGAAGCATGGGACCCCATTTCGAAATCCCTCCTGCATGTCTGGGAGCATTCGTGACTATCTTCATGCTGATAAGCCTTGTCTTGTATGATCGTTTCTTGGTACCAATAGCTAGGCGCTATACAAAAAACCCAAGAGGGATTAGTTTGCTGCAAAGATTGGGGATTGGTCTAATCTTGCATATTATTGTCATGATCATAGCTTTCCTAGCTGAAAGGAAAAGACTTCATGTTGCAAGAGAGCATAATATTATAGGTAAACAAGATGTAGTGCCTCTCAGCATTTTTATTCTCCTCCCTCAGTATGCTTTAGTAGGGATTTCTGATACTTTTTTGGAAGTAGCCAAGCTAGAGTTTTTCTATGACCAGGCACCGGAAGGTATGAAAAGCTTAGGGACTTCATATTTCTGTAGCAGCATTGGAATTGGGAGTTACCTTAGCAGCTTTATCCTGTCAACAGTTTCTGACATCACTAAGAAGAATGGCCATAAAGGGTGGATTTTGGATAATCTAAATCTCTCTCGCATAGACTATTATTATGCATTCTTGGCCATCTTGGGCTTCCTCAACTTCCTCCTCTTTTTGATTGTGGCAAAGAACTTTGTTTATAAAGGCGACATGGACTCCAAAAGGGATCTGCAGGGAGCAATGGAAACTTCCTCCAGCAAAAGTCCAGTGCAAGACTCGTAGGCTGGGTATATATATACTATATATATATATATATATATATATATATATGTAGTGAGCTTATTTTATCATCTCTTGCTATAAGAAATTTCTTTTAACTTAGAAACATAAATTTTGACATTTTTCAATTACAAATTAATTCGAAGCGGAATCAGATTAAGTTCCAATTAATATATAAGACCATTTTGATCCGTAACACAAAAGTGATTGTCCACGTTACAAGCAAATTATACGGTTTGTTTACACACCCTTTCTTTTTTTTTTTTTTTTTGCTCGTTAACACGAAAAAAAAAAAAAAAAAAAGAGTGTTTATTATTTAATGAACAGGAAAACCTTAAAGAAGTGGACTATTCAATCACTGCTCATCCATATTCATGTGTATTGTTTACTTGATATTGTTGTAATTTTCTCATGTGCATTATTTATTTAGCATTTTTGTAATTTTTCTTTTCACTTTATTTATATATTTGTGATGTCATTATTGTGATTTTTCATCTATTGATCATGCATTTGTGATGATATTATTGTGATTTTTAGTTTATTCGGGTATTTGATATGAAGTTTTAACAAATGTTGCACTTTAGTTCTTGATTTTTTCTAAAACTTCGTTTTTGTTTTCAATTTTATTTATATCATGATTGGATATCTCTCTCTGTTATATACATATACACAAAGAGAGAGAGCATGTGTGAGATAGTGAAACCCATTGTAATACCCAAAAATTTTGCATGATAATATATGGTGTGTATATGTGTGCATATGTGCTTTATTTGTGTATGTAATTTAATATTTTTATGTGTTTAGATGATGTGATGATTAGGTACGTAGTTTTAGGATATACTATATATATTTTTGGGTATTATAGATAATATTTTTATAGATAGGAATTAATCCTATAATCTTAGCCTAAGTTATTAGGAATTAAAGGACTAAAGTAGTAATAATAATTACTAAAATAATAATAAGTTTTACTAGCTTTTAAAGGGAATGTTAGTGGCTATGAAAGAAGAGTAAAAGTTTTGAAACATATATTAAAATTAAAGAGGAGACATGAATAGGCATGAAAGAAAAGAAAGTGGTCATAAAAGAAGAAGGTTAATGGTTGTTAAAGAAAGTGACCATAAAAGAAGAAAGTTAATGGTCATGAAAGAAAATAAAGTGGTTATTGAAGAAAGCCACTTAGTCGCCATAAAAGAAGAAAGTTAGTGGTCTTTTATTATTTTTAATTCATGCACTTAAAATTCCTAAATGTTTCAACTCCTCATGCCTATATATAAGGTGTCATTCTCCTCATTTAGAAAAGCCATTTCATAAGCTTATATTTTAAAAGAGAGAGAGAGTTGGAGAGAGAATATAATTGAGTAAGAAGTGAAGTAAAAGGTATTTGGAAGAAGATTCAAATCTTGGTGATTCAATATCTAAGGTAAGAAAAAATATTTAATTATTTATTTCTATAATATTTTAGGTAGAAATGAGTTTGAAATTTCATGATTTAGGATGGATTATGTAAAAATTATATTTTAGTATTAAAATCTTAAATTTGTATTAGAATATTTGATAATTAAGTGTATTTAAATAGGAATTGAAAAGGTTAAGTTAAAATTTAATAACATTAGATTATATGAATATAATTAGAAGAGAATTGAATAAATTAGAGTAGAGTTGATGATTTAATTAGGATTTTTAATTTAAAAGAAATTACAAGAAAAGAATAGGAATTAATAAAAATTAAATGATTAGAGATAAAATAATAATATTTAATTTCTTATGTTATATGTTGTGTATGTTCAAGGTTTGAGTCAAGTCGAGGAATCAATTTTTTAGAGAAAGATTACGATAAACGAGTGGTCTTAAGCGAATCAAGTAAGTGTAACTCACCTACACCATGGATGTAAATGCTATATGTTTTTATATGATTGATGTGATGGTCTTGAGATGCATTTATATACGAGCATATGTTTTACATGTTGATTGAAAGGAAACATTTTTTTAAGTAAACGAATGATATTATTATTTTTAATGCATAATGAGGTTTAAAGGTTAAGGTTGCCTATCGAGGCATAAATGTTGAGGTTTAAAGGTCGAGGTTTGATCGTTAAATGATGAGATTAATGTTTTTATGTATGTTTTTATTGAGGCTAGACCTCGCTAATTGGTGTTAGTATCTTCTAGCGGGGCCCAAATGCGAAAAAGAATTTTAAAAACATTCATGTATAAAATTTTTTAATGTAAAATCATGCATGTGATATTTATTGGGATATTCACACGTCACGTCATTCTGTGGTGTAGGTAATGATGCAAATGTTAAGGATGTTGATGCGGCTTTCGGTGATCGGTGACTCATGTGTCGCCTTTGCGTGTTCCTAACGATTAGGTTATGCTTAAATGAAAATTTATTTTCAAAATAATAAATGTAATGATGTTAAACTTATGAGTGTTGAAAATTTTCACTTAGAATTTGAGTATGAATATTGAGAAAAGATTCTTTAGAAATGTTAATGATGGTAATAGATGTTTATAAATGATGAAATTTTAGAATAACGCTTCCACTATGTTAATAAGAAAATCGTATGATTATATATTATTAATTATATATTTTAAATTGACATATTTAAAGATAAATAAAATTAAATTAGGAACTTAATTTTAAAAATAAAAAGGATATAAATTTTAATAATGACCCGTTGATCGTGACCTTCGAGTGAGGTGTCTCGATTGACGGACATTACGAGTATGGTATCAAAGCAAAATAGATTTTGTGCGCTTAATTAGGAAATAAAGTCCTTAATTATTTTGAAATGAATAAATAAGTATTGAATTTTTTGTTGCATAACGGCACACATGAGCTCGAGGCCCGAAGCAACATCAACAAGTAAGTGATTTCTTTTTTATATACATGTATTATATAGAACTAAGTTAATATGACGTGTTTAAATGATATTCGAGTATTCTTTTAATTTAAATACTATGATAAGGATTATGTGAAAGAGTTTAAGGAATTTAAACCAATAATGAATGATAATAGGATAAGATACTTCTAAGAAGAATGGGAGACACGAAGGTTGGAAATGGTAGTACCATTTGGGTAGAGAGTGAAAATGAGGCTTTAATGCAGCGTATGCCGGATATGATGCGAAACAACAAGAACGACTTGAGGACCTTATAAGACAATTGTTGGCTCTACAACAGCAGAGGGATGAAAGGCCTCAAAATCGAGAGGCGACGTGATGAAGAAATTTTGAAAGTTAAATCCGAAGGAGTTTATGGGAAACCCCGATCCTATGATAGTCGGAGATTAGATTAAGTCCTTAGAGGTTATTTTTGAGCATCTTGGGATGGGAGACTTTGACCGAGCGAAGAGAGCCGTGTTTATGCTCGGCTCGAGATGCAAGAGCCTCAGTGGGTCGCGGCTAAGATTCCTTTGGACGTACCTAACCTAACTCGGGCACATTTTAAAGAGATCTTATTTGCTAAGTATTTCACTCGTAGATGTAAGATCGAAGAAGGTGCATGAGTTTCTTGATTTAAGCCAAAGAAATATGATCGTGACAGAGTATGTCAATCGATTTGACCATGGGAGCTGATTTTTCCCATTCATTACCGAGTACCCCGAGCGGAAGAAGGACCAATTCCTACAAGGACTCACTCCTCGAATCAAGAGCATGGTGCAGATGTCTTATGCTATCACTTATAATGACATGGTTAGTCGAGCATTGATAGCGAAAAAGACCAAAAAGAGATTGTGTGGGAACTTTAGACAAAGAGGTCGAGGCCTAACTTTTCGATGAAGGTCGGGAGTTCATCGAGGATTAAAAAGGTTAAGGGAGATGATGTTACACCAAAAAAGAATGAAGATAACAGAGCTACATGTGTCAAGTGTAGAAGGATGCACTCCGAAACCGTTGAGGGGTACTAACACCTATTGGTGTAAGGAGCCGGGACATGTGGCCGATCAATGTCCTAAGAGAACTAGAGGCGATCAGAGGGTAACAGCTCGAGTGTATACTCTAACTCAAGAACGGACCAAATAGAATGATGCAGTAGTAATTTGTGGTAACTTCTTAATCTCTAGACTCGTTGCATATACTTTGATAGATTCGGGAGCAACACACATTTATATCGAGGTATTTAGTAAGAAGATTAAGTGTGAAATCTAAAATATTAAAATCTATTTATGAAATAATGTTACCATCGAAGATATAATGGAGTCTAGGGATTTGGTGAGGGGATGTGAGCTTGTGTGGGGGATAGGTCAATAAAAATGAACTTAATAGTACTTAGTATTAAGGATTTTGATATAATACTAGGCATAAATTATTTGTCAAAGTATGGAGCTAGAATTGATTGTTAAGCGAAGGTGGTAACATTCCAACCACCTAGTGAAGAGCTCTTAGAGTTTAAGATAAGTGAGAAGTCGAGGTCGATATCAATGGTGTCGGCTATAAAAGCAAGGAGGATGGTAGAGAATGGAAGCACAAGATATCTAACCAATATAAGTAGATACTAGTAAAGAGATAAAGGAAAAACTAAAAGATATCGAGATAGTAAGAGAGTTTGTGGATGCATTTTCGGAGGGGTTAAATGGGTTACCACCAGTAAGGGAGATTGATTTTGAGATAGAGCTAGAGCCGGGAACTACTCTAATTTCTAAGGCTTCTTATAGGATGACGTCAACGGAATTGAAAGAGTTAAAGGAGTGGATACAAGAGTTATTAGATAAGGGGTATATAAGGCCAAGTTGTTCACGATAGGGTACATCGGTGTTGTTTGTAAAGAAGAAAGATAAGACATTGAGTTTATGCATAGATTATCGAGGTTTAAATTGAGTAACAATTAAGAACAAGTACCCATTTCCTTGTATTGATGACTTGTTTGATCGGCTATAAGGGATATCGATTTACAATCGTGGTACCATCGGTTGAGAATTAAGGAAGGAGATGTGAAGAAAATTGCTTTTCAAACTAGATACAATCACTATGAATTTCTAATAATGCCTTTCGGAC